AACTTACTCTAGATGTTAAGGTGGTTTTTCTTTTTTCTGTATATTGATTCTTAAGTATTGACTTTTTACAACTGCAAAGGAATATATTTGTTAATCTGACTGCAATTCTGACTTGTTATATTCAGTCAAGTTTATTCTGAGAATGTCCGTATTAAAGTGTGGCAGAATAAATGAACTTTGAATTAAAATTTAAAAAAAAAAAAAAATGAATTAAATTACACTATTTTGGAATGTGATGAAGTTATTTAGACCATTTAGTATGGAGGGATCTGGAAATACTAGAAAATATTTGAAGGTAACTTACTAACCAAATTTTTGATTATTAAATCTGTTTTTTCCTTAGGTGTACACAGATCTTGGACTTTTTTTTTTAATTGAATAACCTGTATCCTGCTGACCAAGAAACCAGATTTGAGGGTGTACACAGATCTTGGACTTTTTTTTTTTTAATTGAATAACCTGTGTCCTGCTGACCAAGAAATCAGATTTGAGTTTTCTTTTCTTTCTTTTTTTTTTTTATTTCCTTCCTCATTGGAAGAGCACAGTAGTGGCTCCCTGTTCACTTCAGTAAGTATTGCTTTGAAAATAATACTCAGCTTGCCTAAAATCTTGTTGGCTTTAGCTATATTTGAGCTAGCGTATTTGTTGAAAGAGAAATTATACTGGTAAGGATTCTGATGGTGTGATTTCTTCCCTGAAGGGAGTGGGAACATCATTTTCAAAACCGTAAGAAATGATGTGGTGAAAATTGGAAAGAAATGGATAATATAAGGGTTAGGATATATGTTTAAGATGCCAATGAAGACAAGCTTACAAGAATAAGCTTTCTCTGCATCAGTGACTAGAGCTACTTTTCTTTTCTTTCTTGTAAACAAATAATTGCATAGCTAGAGATCTAGTCTTCTAGTTGTTTAAAATGAAATACTGTTTCAAGTTTCCATTCTGAGATGTGTTTATGAAAGCCCTTGTTGACTGAAACGTTTTTGCTATCATAGCTTTATTGACAGGACAGAGATCAATGCTACTCTCTGTTTTATGAGTTCAAGTAAAATACAGTTAGGACTGGTTGAAGATGTAGTTCTGTGACCTTATCTGCCTCCTTAGTTTGCTTGTCATCAATTATGTAATAAATTTGTGGTTATATTAGGCATGTTAAATTCCTACTCCTAAATTCCATTTTCCTAAAAAAGGTAGAGTTTGTATTAACTGCCTTTTGTATTTTGTTTAAAATTAAAAGAATTGACCTGAGTGTCAAGGTTAACTTCTTTGAAATAAAATGGTACGGTATTGCTTTTGATTAATACAGATACCAGAATAAGAACCTACTTTGTGTTACAGTCAACAGGGTTAACTTGAGTGGCAAGTCCATTAACTGCCTTGTTTTTACCTGTTCTTTTTTCTAGATGTCAGTTTGCTGCTAATGGGTGTAAGTAAATTAGATGTCTTGTACAGAAAGCTTCTCCTCACTAAACTTTTCATCAGAGGATGGGGAAAGCCAGAGGATCTGAAAAGGTGACCTGTTAACAAATAACAGCATAAACAGTACTTTGTATTAAAAGAAAAGAACGACCCTTGAAGTACCAACAATTGTTACTATCCTGTATTTAAAAAAAAAAAAAGTGTTAAAGTTTGTTTCATTCAGGAAATCTTGTGTTTCCATACCAAGGGAGGAACTGGATTTAAAAGAAGTCTTAAAGAAATTTGCTAAATCTTTGTGTTTAAAGAGGCTATTCTTCAGAAAATGTATATGTGTCCAATTACATTTTTCACTTGTGCATATATAATAACGTACTTCAAGCAGTATCTCTGAAAGTGTTTTCTAAAACCACATAACTTGCTGAGTTTTTGCAGAGGAATTGTTCTGTTTAACATCAGAGGATCTTGCTTGCTTTCTGTAACTTTTTAATAATAATGAGCTTTAAAAGTGTAAGATGTAATCAGAAGTTTCTCTCATAGCCCAATGTAGTAAACTCACTCTTTTTAGATGTCTTGGAAATAAGAAAAAAATGGAAGTACCTCTTAATTTTTAAGTATTTGCTGATTTTTATTAGCTATTATTAAGAGTAATACCTGGAAGTTGAGCACTTGCATTTCTTAAGTTTAAAAATTAAGTGACTGAATATATACATTCTGCATCATGTAGTATTTAAATAGGAAATGATAAATCTGCATTTAATAAGCTAATTCTTATGTATTTGAAAACCAATAAAGAAAATTAAAAAAACTGAAATAAAATTTTGTTCACGGTGGATAGCAGTGGAGTTATGTGGGGGGTTGTTTTTTGTTTTTAGGTCCAAGTGAAACATCTCATCTTGAAATGGCACTTGGATTGCTTTGTATGTCTGTCTTCAGTTGATTTTCCTCTTAAGTAGCAGACTTTCCTGCAAAACAAGAATGTTGGATTTCTTAAATGTTTGGATTACTTTTGTTAGAATAAGCGAAAAATGTGTGTTTTGTTTTAATTGCACCATTTCTGTATTCTGTTATGTGTGTGTTTCTGAAATGGGACATCTTAATGTTATCAAAACCCTCTCTTAAAAACTTTTAGGTTCCTGGTGAGACATCATGAAGTTTCATTCCCCCATCCCCATCTCCCCCCAACACAATTGCTGTCTGTATAGGGGAACTTCTGACTAATTCTGCCATTAGCTGTTGCAATACTAGGCAAGGCTTTTCTCTTGCATTGGGTCTATAAGGGTAATCATGCTAATGTCAAACAGCAATAAAGAGGCATTCATGGTAGTAATAATGGTATCAGCTATGGCTCTTCCTCTTTCATAGGAAGGGAAAAACCTCTCACGTGAGATCAAAAACTATGGGGGAAACATGAGGCAGGCTTGCTGGTCTGAAAAGTAGACGAATTTGTTCTATGTCTTGCCCCTTTGTGGGAAGAAGATGAGCTGTTCCCCAGCAGCCTGGCTTCACCTGGATGAGGTTAAGCCTCCTCCTGACTCATCACACTGGCTAGCGGGAGGAGGGAGTACTGCTCCCTAGTACACATGCCCTGTCATGCCAGAAACAGTGGCAGTGTCATCTGTCTTTATTTTTTTTGTTATTTCTGATATTACAGACTACCCTGCCTAGATGTAATCTAAAATTTTATGAGCACATCCTTGATGTCATGACTGGTGATATCCTAATGCTTTGTACCCAACTCATTAGCAAGAGTTGAAATTCCTCAACACATTTAGCCTTCAGTATTCTCCGAACTACAGAGGAAATACATAAATGCAGGATTTTTAGAGGATTTAGTGTCAAGCAAAACATCTCTTCACTTAGCTCCACACTCACATCTTGTATCTTTACCTTTATTTTCTCGGAAATACTTAAAGCACTTGCTGTTCTGTGTAAGAAAAACAAAGGCTATATAGTAAAGCTATTTTTGATATGGTGGTAAACTGGATTTTCTTTCTGTCCTTTTGGTTTGGTTTTTCTCTGGTGTTGGGAAGGTGTACAGATCATTCCTGTTATACTATTGTTCTATGCTTTTCACACAAATCTGCTGTTTTAGTTGGTCAAGTAGCATCAGTATGTGCATTTACAACCATGAGAATGAGCAAGTTATTCTTAGCGTAGAGTACTTAAGGCTGAGAGGGCTGTCTTGAGGGCATCTAGTCCAAAGCCCTATTAGAAACAAAGCTAACTTCTTAGTTGATTCAAGTCACTTGGCACATCATCCATTTGAGTTTTGAAAGTCCCTTGAGGCTGGAGATTGTTCCTAGTTTCCCTGGGTGATCTTTTCTGGTGCTTAACCACTATCATGTGAAAAAAATCTTTCACCGTGTTCCAGTAGGGGTTTCTTATGTTGCAACAGCAACCATTGCCACTTCTTCTCTAAGGCAATACCTCTGAGAAGAGTCTTGTTTCATTTTCTCTGTAAGACTCTGCAGCCCATTTACGTAGCAGAAGAAGGTAACTAGATTTGCCCCTCAGCCTTCTGTTCCCCAGGCAGTGCAAAGGCCGTTCCCTTGACCTGCTGGCTGCCCTCTTGCTAATTGCAGAGGGTATGCCGTGGTCTTCCTCGCTGCAAGGATGTGCTGCTAACTTGTGTTCAGTTTGCTGTCCACCAGAAACCCCGTGCCTTTTCCCGCAGAGCTGCTACCTAGCTGGGAAGTTCCCAGCCTGTACTGTTACATGGGACTGCTCTGTCCTAGGTGCAAGATTTTGCAGTTTTATAGTTGAGCTTTAGGATGTTTGTTGACCTGTTCCTCCAGCTTATCCAGGATGCTCTGAATAGTAGCGCTACCTTCCAGCTATCAACCTCACCCTCAAGTTTGTGTCATTCATAAACTTCCCTAAGTGCTGCTAGCAACTTGTTAGGTCATTGGCAACTACACTTCGATGTCAGCAGTCCTGCCTGGTTTTCACCCATTCAGTCTATATTGCCGCAATGTGGCTACAAGGATGTGTAAGTGTAGGAGGTTGCTACGTCTTAATTTGGCCCTGAAAAACGATATAAGCTTTCAACATACCAGGTGTAAAATACCATTTAAGAGCTGTGCAGCCACAAGCAATGTACCTGAGCCTTTTTTTTTTTGACTTAAAAACATTCTTGTATACCTACACTATTGTAGCCTGATTAATCTGTAAATGCAAAGCTGGCATCATAACTTTTATTTTCTTTGTGGCTTCCTTTAGCTCCTGAAATTTTTTTATACATGTATATCTTCTCTTTTTTTTAGATTAAAAGTTGAATCTTCTCTACTTGTTTCCTTTCAACAGAATATTTGAATTCAGAAAGATTATTGGAAACAGGGAAAAATGCCAGACGCTGGTTTCGAAAGATTACCCAGTGTTCATTGACAAGGTACTTAAAAACAAGAGATGATGCAGTTTAACTAAATTTATTTTCCTGATGGTATATAAAGGTGAAATCGACTTAGTACTTACCAGACTGCTTTTATAGGATAGAAGAATTGAATCTGGATGTTATGTGAGTCTGTATTTTCCTGCTGTCCGACATTATCGCAGCATTACTTGCTGCTGGGATTGGCAACTAGGGACTTGAGTTAGGAAGTACGTAGAGGTAGAGTGGTGAATGCACCTCCGACAGTATTCAGCTAGCTTTTGCTGATCACCAATTTTCTGACAAGTGGCATTAACCGACTTCACTGGTGTTCCCAGTTGCTCTGTATCATGAAAAGAACGTTAGAATTTATCTGTGAGGGAAGAGGAAGCGAGGCTGTAGAGGCGAAAGTAATCAATGTAGTGTGAGTTCTCGAATGCTCTGGATTGGAAAACAGAGGCCCTGTCCTTCCAAGTGAGGTGTGCAGACAGAAATAATCATTGTCCTGAAGACTTCAATCTAGAAAGTGTGATTAGGCGGTCAGAAATGAAGAATAGTTTTAAAGTCAAATAAATGCAGTGGTGGTCAATGCTGTGGTAAGCTAAATACTTCAAAAGTTTGCTGGTTTGATTTTTTTTTTAATTGAGCTGCTGGGGATAGAATTAGGAGGCAATGGCAAAAATGGGAAACAGGGTTGGAAGGGATGGGAAAATGAGCAGTCACGTTGGCTACTAGCAGAGAATGGAAGGAGACTGAGAGAATAAAGCAGTGGCTGTTCAGATACTGGTTTTTTTTTTTCCCTAGTGGTACAATAGTTGAGGACGTGGGCTGTCAGATCGTAAAGCTCAAAAAATGCTTGAAACTTAGTGTGTGTTATGAAAGTCATTTAAAATGGGACAGCATTACACTTTATTCCTTGATTCCTTTAGTAGGTCATTTAATAAAAGCAAAGTTTGAAACAAATGTTTTGACTGTGTTGATAACGTATATCCCTATATTTGAAATAGACCTCAGCTTTGGTTTTTTTAAGTACATTTTTGTCCTATAACAAATTCTTCTACTTTAAGAAATTGGCTTTCAGAGCAAGTTAAACACTGATACGAAATATACTGCTGTCATCCCATTCTCTCTGAAGGTTGAGGAGCAATCCGACTGTAAAATCCTTGAGGGACACTTCATTTCCCCGTTGGCTCATTATGTCCCAGGTATCCTGCCAGTCGAATCTCTTGTAGCAAGGCAAGTGGTATTTCTTTTCTAAAAACAGTACTGCAGAGAAATAAGCATGATCTATAAGTAGTTTTATTGTGAAGGTAACTTATTGTAATCCAAATTACCTGTAAAATGTTTCAAACCGTATTTGTACTAATGTGTTGAAATAGATTTTGATCGCAAAAGTGAAGATAAATCTTATTCATGTGATAGTTTAATCGGTGTGTAAATAAAAGAGAGTCCCCTAGCAAAGTATGTTCTTTTTTTTTTTTTTAAGTATAGAAATCATGTTGCACAAAGCTATGGAATACGCTGCGGTTTTAAAAAATTATTTATTTATTTTTTTCTAAATGAGCAGGATGCTGGAAATGAGGGATACTATAGCCGGGACAGTAGTTGCTTGTTTTATATCTAGCAGGAGAAGCTGTTCATGTGAAAGTGGCATGTTATATTATATTTGAAGGAACCACTCCAGCCTTCCATTTACATCAAATACAAAAATATTTTATGTGTACTGAAGTACTAAGTTATTTAATCAGAGCAAGAGAATCTGGTGCCTTTCTTACTTGGCAAGCCAAAAAAAAAAGCATCCTCAGAGAAAGCTGGCTGATCCCTAATAGTCAGAAGATACCTAATGGCAGTTTTGCTGGTTTCACACTAACACTGCTTTGCAGTTGAGGAGTGGGTTTGGAAAGGGAGCATAATTTCTATTTGCTTTTAGTTTTGAGCTAAGCTTTCATGATGGATTTTTTTTCCAAGCTTTGTTTAATAGCTTAAAAATTAGATATAAAAGTTTGTCAGCTCAAGTTGATGCTGGCATTGTCAATTTTATCCGTATTACTAGTTGGTGTTTTTATGTGTACTTAAACATGTAACACTAAGAAATGTCCGAAAAAGTTTGATAGTCAAAATATCAGTTCTCTTCCACCTCTCCATTAGTTAGAGAAAGAAACTCTCTCTTAACATTATTGGGCTAATTAGTACCATACTGGAAAATACAGTATACTGATTGTTTCCTTATCTGTTTTCTCTTACAGTTAGTAGTCAAGTTATGCTAATTGTTACATTGGACAGCATTGTTACAGTTTTGCAATGCTCTACAAATTTCCCCTGAGATCGTTCTACGTGGTGTGAATATTTTTTTCTGAAATGTAACACTGTTGTAGGTAACAGTGCTCCATCTTGTGGGGAAAATACTTGTGGCTCTCAAGTGATTTTTTTTTCTCAGTAGTCAGTCTGTAAATAACTTGAGTAGCAGCAGAAGACATTAAGTGATTGATATTAGGTGTATAGAATAGTTTCATGGTTTGTATGTTGGGTGCTTGATTTTTTAAAAATTTAAATATATTGCTCATCTTAATCTTCAATTTCAGCTGTTGTGCCCTCAGGAGAAAAATAGCAGTGCTGCCTAGGAGAGCTAGTCATACTTGTTTAGGCTCCTCTTCATCTGAAGTTCCATTTCTCCGCTCTGCAAAATTTAAATTGTGATGATGAGGTAGTGGTCTTTTTTAGGAACATGATCTTTCAGCTTGGCTCCTTTTCTTGTTTGGCATTTATTCTGTCCTACTTTTGGATTCCTTTCTTTGCTGGATGTGTTTATGAAAAATGATATTGCTGAATCGCTGGCAGTTTGCCTGCATGGGTTGCAAAAATAATTTATTCTGTCTTTTTCTTTTCTTTTTTTTTTTTAAGATTAATTTCTCTGGCACAGCTTCTAAATAGATATACTTACTTTGCTAAAGTAGGTTTTTGTTTCTCGTAGATTTCAGTTCATCATACCCAGAAGATGGAATAGCAAGCACAGACCTGTGTGCATTCATTTAGCAGGCACTGGAGATCATGTGAGTAGGTAAAATGTAAAACTGATGAAATTAAATAATGAGATTTTATCTTAATATATGTTTCTACTTCTTATCTTTAGTACTTCTGGAGGAGACGCACATTAATGGCACGCCCAATGATTAAAGAAGCCTGCATGGCTTCCCTATTGCTAGAAAATCCTTATTATATCCTTTTGTGGAAAGCAAGATAGTTATTCTTAACATTCTCTCCAGAACATAGAAAACTTATCATGCTTCTCACACTGCTGTAATATCTACTTTGTGGATCAATTTCCAGTGGACTTTTCAGTGGATAGAAGCAAAGCATGACCATTGCATGAAACACAACATGGAACACAGTTAATATAATAGGCTACTTTTACACCAAGTATTGCTTTTCTGATTTTTTGGAAAATGACTTCTACAGCTTCTTACTGTAGTCATTAGAGTAAAAGTTCTGACGTGAATCTGTGTACTGATCAAAGTACTGATGTGAGTCCTTTAGCCATGACAGACAGAAAGCTATGCATTCATTCTACATCATGCTGTGTGACTTCTGGATGTATTAATGACAGAAAAGAAAGTTGCCTCTCCTGCCTTCCCTTCTCAAATGCAACCCTTTGGTACCTCAGGTACTTTTGAGAAACTTGCTGCTACCATTTAAGATTTGTTTTTTTAAAAAAGGTTCTGTCTTGTCGTCAACTCATCGATAACTTCTGTAACACTGTTACTCTGTTTTGTTAAATAGGATCTCTGGTTACACTTTTTTCCTACCCACATACCTGACAAAAGTAAAATCCTATGTTGCAAACGACATCATCAAACTACATTTAACTTGATTTAGTTCGAGTTAAATGTTTGCAATTTAAGTTCCAAATTTTAATTAATGTGTGCTATTTATGTGATTTATTTTATTATTTTATTTTATTTTTCGTTTTAATTGCCAGTTTTTGTATAGAAATTTTTTACTTTCTTTAACTTGAGTCTTCTACATGGCTGTAGAAAACCTAAGGATCAATTGTGAGTATTACCATTACATTCATGGATACTGTCTTTTCAAAATACCACTTTTTTTTTTTTTTCTCAAGAAGCTCAAAGTAGTATAAACTTTGATAGCTTATTAAGAAAAAAAAAGTCCCAAGCATGGACTACTTGTCACCTGCTAATGTGAAATTGTCTACCCTTTGCTAGACTGCTTTGTCATTTTTTGTGTGAAGAGATGACAGTGATCAGGAAAGTTTGCACAAGATGAACTTGCAGTATAGAGTGAGATGCAAGCAAGTTGTGTGAGTGCAAGCAAGTACCAGTTTATTTTCCTGATTCACAACTGTGCATGTACAAATGCTGCAATTACGTTTCAGTCAACTGCGAATAATCTTTGGTCAGATAGTGTCTTTTCCTGTTATAATTGCTAAGATTTTGCTTTTCCAAGATATTCTAAGGCTTTGCAGTCAGGTGTAAATAAATCTGGTGTTGCTTGCTTGTTACTCAGTGGCAATTATGCAATATTTAGTATTTTACAGGACTTGCTCCCTCAGTCAGTTTCTTAAATGTGAATTTAGAAGCCTAATTAGGCGGTCCTGGTTTTTTACTTTTCACGTTTTCCAAACCACTGGAGTATTAATAGAATTCAACAGGGTATATGTTTGAGGCCAAGCCATGGTTTTAGTTACCAATATTTCTTAAAAATCTGAATATGAGTTGGTGTTTTAATCCTTTTTAGTCCTAACTTGGACGTTTAACATGAGTAGAAGATGCATAGAAGATGATTTATTTTTAAAGGTGCCCGGTCTATTAGGACTTCACCAGGAGAACTATCTCACACTACAGCATTTTAGATTTTCTAGATTTTATTTAGATTTCAGCATTCTGATTTCCTAAATCCAAAACTTAAAAAAATTACTTTTAAGGAGAAAATTTTAGTTAGAAGATAGTTTCTAGGTTTTTTTTTCAAAGCAGATGCGGAATTTTATGTATTTTGACGTAAGAACCACTTTTTTAAAGAAAGTGAATTACATTTACCAACTAAGACTATTGTTGTAAAATTGCTTTTTTGATAGGAAAACTGCTTAAATGTATATGTATATTTATTATTACATTTAGAAGTGTAAGATTATAGGAAAGTGACAGGAGACACTGTGTGCTGGAACACATCCACTGGTGATTTTTTTTTTTCCAGTTATTGAGGATCTGATGCAGAAGAATAAATTAAGTATTTTGGCAAGGATATTTCAAACTCCATTCTCAGTTGTCTAGCTTGACAGCTTAGTATATGCATGATGTAGGGAAGGATTCTTTGAAAGGGGAATGCTCAGTCTAATACCCCAACCAGTAATTGTCAGTCTTTGATACAAGGTTACAAAGCAGCAGCGGTGGCTTTAGTTAATTTGCTAGTAACAGTGTTTAATAAATATAGCAGCTGGAGAGGGCTGAGGAATCTCGTAACAAAGCTGTAGGAAAGAAGTACCTTAGCCTATACATACTGGTCTGCAGCAGCGATGTTCATTTCTCTGAGACTTGCACAGTAAGCTTTGTCCTTGTGCTTCAGCGTCTCAGATGTGATTGTGTGCTGGCAGAAGAGGCCAGTACCTTTTTGTAACCTGACAGTGTAATACTGAAAATACACAGTCCCCCTCCCCAAATTAGAGGTGTATTAATTGCTCTGTAAAATACATTATTTTTTCCACTTTTTAGAGTCTCTCTGATGGTTCAGCTGAATAGCGTTCTACTTTTTTTTTTGTTTCTTCTGTGTTTTAATGCTTTGCAGTACAGTACATGAATTTCTCAGTACCGTGACAAACTTCCCACTTTACAATTTCAGTCTTACAGTGACACTGATGAGTGCTTCCAAAGCTGACATACTGATTGCTCTTCAAATGTTGTGTGCAATTTTTCAATGATGTAAAACAGGTAAATAAGAAAAAAAAAAAAAAGAAAAAAGGATTGTTTCTGCAAATGAGATAGTGTATGTGTAGGACTGTATCGCTTTGATTCTGTTTTTAAAAGATCTGTTATAACTTTACAGGACAGAAGATTACTACTAATGAGATTCTAATGCTGGTAATATCTGTTTCTAGAAGACCAGGCTGTCAGTGATGTTACATTAGAAGCTTAGCAGGTGTCTATTTCTAGTCCTCATTTAGATGAAAAAGTACAAGTGCTGGAGAATCTGGACTTGCTTTTTCTCCTGTTGAATCAACAGGAGTTCAGCTCCAAAATTCTCTGGGATTACAATCAGGCTTTGTATAAAAGTATGTCTAGAATGATGAGAACTGTCAAAATCTAATCTTAGAAAATAAATCCTATATTTTCCTTTTCTGGGGAGAAAAGACGGTCATGTTTAAAAAATGTCTCGGACCTGTTTGTGATGGGAGGAGCTCTTGTTCTAGAATCGGCAGCTCTTTTGCACTGGCTAGAGAGAGAAGGCTATGGACCACTAGGGATGACTGGAATATCCATGGGAGGACATGTAAGCTTTTATATTTCCTGTTCAGTAATTTTTGTTTTAACTTCTCACTTAATCATTTAGCATATGGAAATAATTTAGTTTATATTGTTCCTCTCAGAAGTACTTTAAAATAAACATTTGGAGTAATGAGGAACAAATTGTTGGCAATTCTCATGTTCTGTGGTGCTGAATTAGTATAATCCTCAATAAGTACTGACAAATCATAGAGCCCTTTGTCAGCTGTCTCCTGACAGGCTTGATAAGAATATAAGCTTCGCATGTAATTATGGTTTTTTCCACAAGGAGGGAGCGAGAAATGTTTTCTGGAAGAAGGTCTGTACTGTTCAATTGCTAGTTCTCCGTCTTTTCCTCTGTTCTTGATCAAACTTTTGTGTTTGAATGCATTGTGTGAAATGCCTCCTCTTTGTAGGCATGTTGTAATTGAGGTGACTTTTGGTGTCAGTTCTGTTCTCATCTTTTTATCCCTGATCATTGGTATTGATTGGAGAAGATTTCTGTGGTGAGGTGGATAACATTTTGTGTATGATGCTGTGCATATTCAGACTAAACCAGCAGTGTATTAGTAAGATGCTTGAAAGACTAATATGCAGTTAAAATATTACTGCTTATGTCTCTGCAGATAATCATTGGTCTGTGAGACATAGCCACAAAGCTTATTAAAACAACATACCTCTGTTTTGCTGATCCTTTTTTGGTTGTCATTAGGAGCTAAATACATAATGTTGGTAATGGTAGTGTCTACTGAAAGGAAAATAATTTTCCCCCAATGCACAACTTTATAACTCTAAGTGTCGTAAATGTACAAAGCACCTTTGATTTACATAAACATCACCCTGCTGAAACAACAACTTTTGTGTTAAACATGTCTTTCCTGTCTTATTTGTAAGTTGGATTGGAATTCTCAAACTGGTATATGCACCGCTAAGCACGCAGGACACTTCAAATGCTGTGCAAATGCAATGGGAATAACTGAGTACTGTGTCCTGTACCAGTGGTCATATATGGCATGGGTGTAGAAGGAGGCAAGATCTGAGAGAGTGAGTTTGGAAACTCCTTTGAAATGTTTTTTCTTAGACTAGAAAGATATATTTTGGCTAGTCCTGACTTACAGGACTTCTAGTACAATTTAAAACCAGGGAAAGAAATCATATTTGATGTTGATCATCTACAGAATGTGTTTTACAACAGAAGGTAGGGAGCATTAATTCAGTTCTACTGATGGGGAGAGTTGGAACTAAAAGGAAAGAAGTCGGACTTTCTGGCTATCAGAACGTAGATATGTGGTGTTCTTGTAACTTTTTATTAATAAAAAATAATTAGAATAGAATTATAGTTCCATTTATTAGAACATCTGGTACAGATATGGGGTATTTTGTATTCAGGGGTTTACACTGTTGTTCAGTTTAGAGCAATAAAGCAGAACTTGTCAAGAACATACCATATAGGGAACTTCTGACTGTTGAGCTTCTTTGCTCTGTTTTTTTCTGGGATAAACAGAATATTCACAACAATGTGTTCTGAGAACTGATGTAAAAGTAATAATTTAAACTCTAAAGGACGGAAAAAATAGTCCACTTAACATGCTGAATTACTTCTTCTCCACATTTTGTTTCCAGTATACAGAGTTTAAAATTAGAGCATTTTGAATAGTCCTTCTCATGCATTGCCTTCATTTTGCCTTGAAATAAGCTTGCAAGAGCTTGATGAAAAGGCCTTATATATATTTTTGTGGTTTTAAACAACTAAAAGGTCAGAATAAATATTCTATTGGGAATTCTTACAACAAAAACCCATTCAGCCTTCAAATTAGTCCTATCCAGAGCAATGTTTATTGTTAGGGAAATCGGTGAAGAATAGGCTATATCTTCTAAATAGGTGAAAGTATATCCAACTGCCACAGCCCTTAACTGCTTTGGCACTGCGTATTTGATACTGTTTCAACAAATAAATTGAAGGTGAGAGATTTCTTTTGCCATATTGTGAATTCAATGGTAAAATATGTAATAAGTGCCTTTGATTCTAGATGGCTTCACTGGCAGTGACAAACTGGCCTAAACCTTTGCCATTGGTTCCGTGTCTTTCCTGGTCAACAGCTTCTGCAGTCTTTACTACGGTAATTAACATATATTTTTGTTAATACACTAGAATGTACTCAGATATGCGAGTTAAAAGGTTTGGCTTGGCCACATTCACTGTTTCAGTTAGGGCATTTCATCACATCACCCGTTGGCCTCTTATTAGTGACTAGTGGCAAAACCCACCCTTCCTGCTCAGGATATACAACACATGATAACGAAGGTAGCTTTGAGCAACTTCAGTGGGTCCCGTACCAAATTAGGGGCTGGGGCTGGTTTGTGGGAGAATGATTAGAGTCCTCGTCTGAATGTGGGAAGGTGAGGAAGCAAGCCGTGAAAACATGTTTGCTTCCACTCAAAGCCTGGCTTAAATAATGGAGTAATAATGCTGCTACAACCGTGAGGGGTACCTGTTTTTACTACTGCTGCCAGGGTAGGTGAATGAATAGGCTGGCTTTGACACTCATCATTGGTTTAGCCCACTCTAGATGTGTGTAAATCCTAAGTGGGACTGTTTTCTGTCTTCTTTCTTTTTCCTTTTTTAAAAATTTGGTTTTTTACAGGGAGGTGGGTTTCCATGTCCTATGTTACAGTATGTGCTTATGCTTTGATTACAATAATTCTAAGGGTTATCTGGAAACTTGGGTGGAATTCCACTGGAAAAATCAAGTCACAGAGAGGAACAGATCCATTTTCTTAGTATATCATTATTTTAGAATGATCTCTGGGTTTTACTTGTGTACTGAATGCTTGTGTTTATAATCTCAGGGTGTGTTGAGCAAGGCAGTGAACTGGAGAGAGCTAGAGAAACAGTATTTTACACAAACTGTTTATGAAGAAGAAATCATTCAAATGCTTGAATACTGTGGAGTAAGTATAGTTTATTTTCCCTGTTTGCTGATATTTACATGTGCAAATATAACAAATTATGTGACTTCTTTTTACTTCCAGTAAAAGTAGCCAATTGTTAGCTAAAACATGTTTGCCTGTTGTTTTCTTATGCTTTTGATAAGATTAATCTTTGAAGTAAAAACCTTCTGAAAAACAGAAGCTAATATTTTGGTTCTATAACGTGTGTTAAGCATAGCCCTTGCTACAAGTTTTTTTCCGTGACCACACTTAGTGTAATCTGCAACATAAAATGAATTTAATCAAGACATTGACACTGTAGATAATATTTCCCGGTAACTGACTTTATCGTCTGGAAAACAGTAGCCTGGCATATAAATTTTAAAACATGATTTATTGCCCTTTGAATCAATTGCTTCCAAGTATTCAATGCTGTAGAATATTTTTAATACGTAGCAACATGAAGTTACTTTCCTAGTTTATTTAGAGTGCTAGGTCTCTATTTCTGTTTCTGCGTGTGATGCTAGCCCTCCCTCAGTTTTAGACTTCTGTTGCACAGGCAGTTGGGATAAGCATGAGGTAGAGCGTTTGTAATTAGCTTCTTGCTCCTTATGAAATCTAATTTATTGTCTGCCTATGTTTTTACTTTCTTCTTGGACTCTTTTTGACTAGGGTTGAAAGACTCTTCCCAAGGGGAATTTCATTGCCTCACCGCTTTTTTAGATTGGAGTGATAACTTTTTGAGAATCGCTTATATGTTGCAACACTGTCTTCTAGCCAATTCTGATAAATAGCTTCTTTCCTAAGATTCTTTGCTTTGTGACAGTCCTTTTTCAGATATCTTATGACACGAGAAGAGGGCCTGGGGTGGAGATAGTTATGTAGGCACTTGCCATTTTTAGGTAAAATGTACTCCAGGAACACTGATGGAGCAGTGAAAATGAAAAGAAGAAACATTTCAAGATGTTCAGCTTGTGTCTTGCTGGTATTTAGAGACAGTAGATTTTTCAGTCATAAACCTAACATTAGACCGGGACACGTATGTTTATTGCCCAGAAATTTAAGCGTAAATGACTGCAATTACAAATTCAGAGTTTAATATAGAATTTAAAGTAAGTGTTTGTATTATAAGCTACCATATCTAAGTACTTCCTGCATTTTTTAAGCTAACAGAAATGTAGAATGAAATTAACAAGAGGTTATGATGATCAGGATTTAATTGAGTGACACACAGACTGAAAATAACAAGTACTGTGAGCAGTGCTGTTTGTATTTTAAATTTTTTTAATATTGAGTTGATCTTAAAAATAAGATTAACCAAGTGGTTTAAAGGAGAAACCCTTAATAAATGACCTGTTGTCTTTGCTTAGACGGATTCTTTCAAGATGGGACAAGACTTTGTTAAAAACTTCCCTGACAGTGTGGACAGTCTGGAGGATGTGGACATGACTTCCAGAATGTTCAACCTTGATTCCTCAAACAAGACTGTATCTAAAGAAGCTGTTCACAGCTTTACCACAAATAAAAGTACTCCAAGTGCCTCATCAGAAAGACTCTTAACACAAGATGCTCCTAAAATGCAGTGCATAAACCAAACATTTTCAACCAGTAGCAATAGCAATAAAAATTTCACCAGCCCACAAGGACACAGAATAAATAAAAGAAGAAAGAGTGACACTTTACAGAGAGAATCCTTAAGGTTCATGAAAGGAGTAATGGATGAATGTACCCATGTAGCTAACTTCTCAGGTATGTATTTGGTTTATTGTGCAGTTTGGAAAACTGAATAAAATATGATGGAAGGAAAGGTGTTTTCTTCATTCTCCATTGTATAAACCTGCTGGCACCTTAGCTGAAGTATGAAAATATCTTGAGTGTTATTCAGTAGCATCTATTTACCACTCTATTTCCTAATTGTTTTTCTGTTTCTTCTTAATGGCCAACTAATGAAAAGTGAATTAAAATTTTGCATTTCACTATCTGTGCTCATTTTTTCTCTGCCTTGCTGTGGCTATTTTCAGATATGAGTTAGTGCAAATTTGTATTATTTAAAAGAACAAAACGTCTGTGTGATGTGAGTAATCTCTAGATCTAATTAATCTGCTAATAAGCTTTTTCAGGCAGATTCAAGTAAATCTCGTAAAGCAGAAGTCTAATACTGACTTCAGATAGAAAGTAGCCTCTGTAGCTGAGAACCAAGCTTGAATGATCCTTTTAGACAAGTATGACCAGGAAAAATGCTCAGAGATCCTTCTGGGACAAGGCAGTCTGGTGAATATAGTGTTTCCCAAGACAGGCATAGCACGTAGAGGGAGCTGTAGCCCAGCGAGCCTTAAATCTGATGAACCTAGGTTTCCTGGCCTCTAGGACAAATCCCTTTCAACGGCCCACTTGCAGGCAATGCAAACAAGCGATTTCTTCCCAGGGCTGATTGAAAGGGTTTTGCTGGGGTGGGGGCTTGGAATTGCTTTTGTGGTGGTCCGTTCAGACAAAATGGTTCAACTGTGCACACACCCACTGAGGACTCTCAACATGTCCTAGAGCATACTTAGACCTCAGACAGGTTTCTGACAGTTATCTTTGAATGTCAAAACATTCCCGATCCTGAGACTCTGTGCCACCTCATTTTTTAATTCTGGCATTCAGTACTCCACTGATAAATGTTAAAAAAAGAAATCTAAAGGTTTCTACACTAGGATAGATTTCTTGACTTGGACGATGTCCCAGATCACTGCTAGCCTGGGATGTTTTGTGACAAATACCAGTGAGGTTCTTTCCTTAAAGCTTTAAAAGTTATTTCAGTAGACAGAAAAAACACTGTAAGCTTCATTCTCAGTACTGACATTCTTGTCTATCTAGACACTTATCCAGGTATCACTTAGCTAAAGCATTGGCCTTTCTTGAAACTTAAGAGGATCTGCGATCCTAATGCACTTGTCAAAGTGGTGTAGTCCTTCGTGTCAGTTGCCTCCCAGGCCTCTTCATGCTCTGGGAGACATTGCAACCCCTGCCAGGGTATCCTTGGAGTGTGTCTAGAGAGGAGCTTCAGAAAATCTGCCTAACATTCACATTTCGTGGAAAATGGAATGGAAGGCTAGAATCTATCTTAGCATTGCATCTCCTCTATACACGATCTGGTATATATGAAAGGAGAAGTTCTAAATTATTTGTGACACCCCATTGTCAAACATCTTGGCTGGTTACTCTTTACCATACTACATGTATTCTTTGTGAAGAGAGAACTGTTCTGTGTTCAACATCATTTTGGTGGTATTTTTCTCAACATCATTTTGGTGTTATTCCTGGTGGAATTCTGGTTATGAGTAGCAAGTATCTGTAACAACATGCTGAGATTTTTATGCTGTAACTAAAACATGTAGGAGACAGAAAGGACAGTGAACATATAGTATGCTTTGCCTGACCTCTCATATGAAAAGTTGTCTTTTTTCCTCTCCTTGGGGAAAAAAATTATACAAAATTTCTGCTTTGTTGAATTTCAGATGTCTCCTGGTTCTTTTCACTGAAAAAAAGAGATCTCAGAGAACTGACGTGAATGCTGTAGAGTTTTGTTGATAAGAGGAAAGACAATTCTCCTATCATTCCTCCAGCTTGTGAAGTTTTCTGCTTTAAGGGAGGGGAGGGGATTGATCAATTTGTTTTTCTACCGATGGCCGCACTACTGTAATGTCAAAGAACAGATAAATGCTGCTGGAAACTTTAGAAAATATAATTTTAATAAAGCTTAGACTAATTTTAATTTTTGTAGAAATAGAGAGCATTTTTATGACAGAAATCTCAGCTGAAGTGTTTCTATTTCTTACCTTAGATGAATTCAATTTTGATTTGTTTTTCTGTAGTTCCAGTTGACCCAAGTTTAATCATAGTTGTACAAGCTAAGGAGGATGCGTATATTCCTCGAACTGGGGTGCGCAGTCTTCAAGAAATCTGGCCTGGATGTGAAATTAGGTATCTGGATGGAGGTCATGTCAGTGCCTACCTCTTCAAACAAGGACTCTTTAGGTAAGGTGAACAGGAAAGTTTAAAAACAGTTGAGAGCTTAAAACCATAATTTTGAGATGCATATTTTTTCTTCTAAAAGCAAGTCTATAATTCCTCTAAAGCAACAAATACTGAATACTGCTTTGAAGAACAGCCTATCGGATCTGAAATAATTTCAAGAGAATGTTAGCATTTCCATTTTATGAGCAAAGATGAGGTCCAGTATAGCTTGGATCATTCGGTAAGCCAATGGCAAGAGAATGATCCTTCTCCCTCTTGTTTTGCTGTAAAAGCTTTTAGTTAGTTTGTTCACTGGACACTAGAAAATATTTTTAAAGCAGTGACCACTTGTGTTGTATTGTGCAGCTGTTGTCTTTTTGCAAATGTAGTCTTCTAAGAATTAAAAACACCACAGAATTGAAGATGAGAATTAAAATACAAGCTTGACTGCAAGTGAATAGTACTTGCATGAATTCTTGCCTTAGTAATACTAGGCGTTGACTTTCTGAAGACAGTTACATAAATCAGTTATATAAAGGCAGTTCCTTAGTCTTAAAAAGTGAAATACTTGTGCTGTTAATTTTAAAATATAAGGAATTAGTAAGCATGTACATCCCGTTTAGGAAGTCTAAGCAAGAACAAAAAGGAATAGCAATATACCAGGTCAAGGTATGCTAACTACTAGCTTATTGCTATTTAAAACTTCAGCCTTACTTTATGACAGTTGCTCAAAAATTATAAATTGTGCATATTTCTTTGACCCATTTCCTGACATGTTTGAGTAGAAAACTCCTAATCCATTAACATTTGCACTCCTATTGAAGTTGGTGAACAGTCTTGCTCGTTCCTGAAACATAAATACATTACTAGATTGAAGTGAGAGATCCCAGAAATACGTGAAGGAGAAAAGTCTGCCTAATATCACATTTTCGTTGAATGCTGTTTTGAAACTGTAACGATAGCTTTGGAAATATATTTGTAAATTTATGGAACTATGCTACTTATACCTGCCGTTTCCCAAATTATACAAATGATCTTTTTTCCTTGTTTCAGACAAGCGATTTATGATGCATTTGACCGCTTTCTTCAGAAGTATGCAGTTTAGAAATCTTCACAAGGTATTCAAATGGATCTCATTTGTATTTCTGCGTACTGGAACTCATATTTGGAAAACAAGTGTCTTGCAGCGTTGAGTAGATGGTCACTGACTCTGACTGTTGTAGGTAACAATTTTCAAAAATGGTAGAGTACCAGCATTACTTTCATTTCAACCAAATGCCATTCTGACACATGTGCTTCAGCTTTACCTGTGAAAAAACACTGGCAGCATTTGCTAGTGCATGAATGGTTCATGTACTTCATGTTTAATCACATTGTGTATTCCTTTAATTGTGAATAAATTCTGAATGGTGTATCAGTTGAAAACAGACCAATCTAAGTATTGAAAGAATGGAAAATGTGCTGTAGGGCTAAGATGCTGTCTTGCATTTAGTGTATTTCTAGTTTGTCCCAGGTACCGTGACTTCCTCTTGCTTCTTCATCCCCTTGCTGTTCCTATTGTGTTGTATTGCTTTGCCAGCACTCGGCCTCTTGTGTTTATCACTGATTTTCTCTATTATGAATTGAAAACGAGCTATAGTAGAAGGGGCAGCATCAAATCTTGCAAAAAGAGACTTTCAAAATTCAGTGAAAACTGAGAGATGTTTTCATTCAATGCGTCCATGAGATTTTTCTGCCGCTGAATTAAACTGTGCCGTTCCAGAAGAATCATGTAGCAATTTGTTGACCAGTTTCACAAAACTGGCATAAGTGAAAATGAAGTGTCTAGTAATTAATTGTTTACATGTGTTCAGTTGGATAACATAAACTTTTTCTTGTAGATTTTTTTTTTAGAATGCTAGAGGAAATAAAAATGTAATGGTTTTTCTTTAGAAGCAGTGGCACAAAGAGTCTGATTCTAAGCAGTTAAATCAACCGCAGATTATATGGTGCTATAAAGACCTGTTGGAAATATTACAACAGAGATCCTTTTTAAAGTGCACTCAGTGCTGATATGCAAAATACAGTTTCACTGTATAACAGTAAAAACCTATGTGAGACTAAGGGTTATCAAAACAGTTAGGTTAGCTCCTTATTTTTCAACACTGTTTGTTTTAATTGGATGGAAAATTAAAAAATTAGGATTATGAACATGTTTAAGAAAATCCAAAGTCTCTTGTTTCCTCTTTTGGGATCAAAAAGGCCAACAAATTACAGCAGAATAAAAGGTTGCTATGCATCAGCTGTATCTGGTATCTGTCCACATCTCATTTTGTGGTAATCTCCTGTAACATTCTTTTAAAGTTAGTTTGCATAGAATTTGAAAACTGAAACACTTCAGTGTTAATTTTAGTACAGCACTGACCAGAGTTACACAGAAACAAACAGAAAAATCCAGCCATTTCTCAGGATATGTGACTTCTACACCTTTTCTACGCCTTTTAAATCAAGCACCTCATTGATCTCTGTGGTTTGCCTATTAAGAACTATTATGCTGAGTATGAAGCAAACAAAGCTCAGTTTATATAAATATATTCTCTTGGATTTTAGTCTGGCAGACAGGACTAGTAACTGGGACAAAGTCATGGTTCACTTGAAAATCAGATCAGTTCAGGTAAAACTGAAGTGCAACAATTTGTAATAACCGAAATTATTTAACATAAAAATTTACTGAAAATGCAAAAGAACTTGTATTGTTGGAAGTTAAATTGCTTCTTTCAAGTGGTTTTTCATCATTTCTATGTGCTACATTTCAAATGTGCTACTCACTTCACACTTGCTCCTAATATATATAAAACCAACACTGTCCAGTGAGTAGCACATTTAAATATAGTAAAACACTGAATGTTGGAAGGTTTGAAATCAAATGTAAGTAAGCTTACAAATCTAAAATTGAAGGGTTGAATACTATACTAAAAGATTTATGGAGTTTATGTTTTACAAGCTCATTCATCAACTAAGAATGTTTTACGAGACCATTGTCTGCTGTTCACCAGCTTTTTCAGATCTCACATTTTAAATCTATTTGTGTGCTTTATGTCCTGTTTCTGTTGCAGCTATGAGAAAGGGAGATAACTGGTGGCAAGGGAAAGGGCTTGAACAAATGGAAGAGAGAAAAGGCAGGTTTTGTAAGGCGGGGAGTAAGCACAAAAAAACTCAACTTCTCTATGCTACAGAGTATTAACATGCCAAAGTAAATATTTTGAAAGTGCACAATACTAGGAATTACACAACTGATGGGAACTTGACATCCTGAGGTTAGTGTTCTGGTGGTATTACTAACAATGTTTAACTTGCCAAAAGGGCGTACTATTCACAGAAGCAGATTTATGCTAATGGAACTCCTGTTTGTGAGAGTGTCTTTTGGGAGAAGTAGTGAAAGACTGGTCTCTGACAAGAATGAGAAATCACACTTTGCTATGTAACTAAAGTAATGTTGCCAAATATGAAAGCCCAGTAAGAAACATTTAAGAAATTTCTCAGGTTAGAATAACAAAAAGGAAAAATGAGCTCTGTGGTCTATTTCTGCCAGTTATCAGACAGGAAGCTATTAGGTGGTCTGTGAAGGGGGAAACCTTGCTGTGTAAATGTTTTTAACCTTTGGAAAATTGACTTTTTAAACCAGATTTTAAGGTTAAATCCTAAGAAAGCATTATTAATAATCCATTCTGATGTTAAATGGGACTGTGATTTTAATCCAGCAGTTGCATGAGAAAGTATTGGAATAAGATTCCTGCACTAAATACAAATAGCAGGTAAGCCATTCTGTGTGTCTTAAATTTATTGTAAAACAGACCTTGATAATTTTTTGGTTTTAATGTTTTTCAATAAAAATCCTAAAAAACCCATTAGGTGTGACTTTTTTTCTTTCTTGTTAGCAGGAATTCAAAATGCATCTCACTGTCATCCTGTAATCCTTTTTGTTCCTACTGGTACTGTAGCACAGGAAGAGTAGTTAATCTACAGTGCAAGATAAAAGCTTCATAACAAACAGTGATACTGCTTTCATGTTTTTCTACAGGCAGTACCAAGTAAAGAAAATAAGCTTGTATCATCTAATTAAGATACCATTGTGATTCCAGTTTTATACTTTTCAGAGGCTTCATTGTGCTAGAATTTCCCAGACTTACTTAAAATCCCTTGTTTTTAAAAGGGTCCAAAATCTGTACAACTTCTTCCTGCTTGCTGCTGTGTTCCAAGCAAGAGTGTCTTGTACCATAATAAATTCAGAGCATATTGCAGGACTGTCCAGCAGTAATAGAAAAAATCACTCTTGCTGTTGATGGTTGCTCTTGCAAGGTGGGAAGGTGGTGGCAGGATTTTGGAGTGCTGCTGCCGGGAGAAGAGGAGGCAATTTCATCGTCTGCAGCAGTCCGTCTTATGAATGGGAATACCACATGCTCGCTGAAAGGCTGCTTTGAACAGATAGCTGTAAATGTTACTGACAGGTGCATCTTTGAGTCTTGATGACGTTTATGTGCAACAAAAGAAAAAAAGTCTTGGAAAATTGTTGTGGCTTAGTCTGTGGAATTGGAGCAGTCATTCTGACTGAAGCCTGCCAGTTGTACCCAGCAACCAAGATGCAGTCAGTTGTATTTTGGTGCACAGTTACGTTGTCAGAAAGTGAAGGCTGTGGTTACAGCTCTGCATACTAAGACTGACGAAACATGAGGACGTAGTGTGTTTTCTCTACACTTGAAAGGTAAAAGCTCAGGACAGATTGAGAGGTTAGGTCTGGTGTGTTACCCGTGAGTAATCCAGGTAATTTTTTTTAGCGTTTTGTTTACGTTTCTCTCCTGACACCTAAGTGCTGATCACCATCTAGAGCAGAACACATCTAGCCATTGTCAAGTAGAGCTTTTTGTAATTTTTTTTTCTCAAGTCTGCAAAACACCCCCCTCAAAAGTGACTGCTCAGCAATATTTTTTAGCAAGAATAGATCACTTGTGTTGTATTGCTCTGGAAAGCCTGCAAAAAGGTACCATTATATGAAGGAATGGCATCTTCTTGTGTTTTCTTACTGGAATGTCATATGCATGTCTATAGATACTCTTTAAATAGTAGATTAGAAAGTGAAAATCCTTGGGCCCTCGGAGTGCTAGTTTTGCTTGGTAGCTGCTAACGTTTTGAGGCAGTTAATATTTTTTTTATCTTAATTGTTTCTATCTTGTGTTGCTTTTTAAAAAATGTTGATCTTAATTACGGTTAGTTGGGCAGGGAAGTTTCGTTATCTTGAACTGTCAGGTTTTCTGCCAGCTTGGCTGTAATGATAAGTTACACAGTATTGAAAAGAGGTTCGTGTAGTCTGTAGGCATGTAATTCCTCATGAAAAACTATTACATGAATAGTAACTATTACAGAAAATGCTGCTATATTATGAAATCCTGTAATTAGCAGGGTTTCCTGACAGGCTTGGATGCTTCTACACAAGATAAAACATAAGTGTTAAAATGTAAAGTAGCTTATAATGATTGTTACTGTCTTGGTTTCATGTAGTGTAAATGAGCCTCTTTTTCAAATATGAGTATTTAAAATGCTGTGCTCTTAAGAAGCACTGTGAGTTTTGCCAAGGAAGTCTGACTTGCCCTGCTAGAAAGTAACAAGAGGGATGATACAAAGTGGACAGAGTTATGGATGAGTCTTAGCCAGCTGTAAAGGCTTTCTGTATGCTCTTCAGGCCCAGTCCAGCCAATAAAGTATACAGTAAGCCTTCTACCACAAAGTTAGCAAAGCAAGTATGTATAAAAACTTCTCAAGCTGCAACGTTACTGGTCACCTTTACTGTTTTTCTGCCCCCGCATAGTTAACTCTTACTCAGTTTCCTGCTTTTTTCCTGATCCATTCAGGTTCCTGCACTGCAGCGTTGCAGTGTTCCTGACGTCCGGGCTCGCCTACGCGTCTGCTTCCTTGTCTTCGAACACTTGTATGAGAAAAAGAGGAAACAGGAGGTTAATCCCCTTCTTACCAGTGACTTAGGTAGGCCTCTGAACTTTCAGATCACTTAACCTCTGCTTAACTTCTGAGTTTGGGAAACCAAATGAAAGATGTGAAAATTGTTTTGAACACGTAGTGGTTGTGACCGATAGTTGTGTTTTCAGGAATGTAGATGTAAACATATACAGATACTGGCTTTTTTCCCAGCCAAAATTGTTCACTACGAATGCTTTCCTCCATTTCAAATAAATTTGTCACTGCAATATGCAATTGTCATATCCTTGGTTAGTAAATTTATTGCATCTGAAAAAATCGAGGTTTTAATTTCAAAGAAAAATGCTTCTAAGAGTTTGAAGATTTGCTTTAATTTTAATAATTTACCTTTTTTTCTCTTTCTTGGTATAAATTTAAAATGAAACAAGAATATGTTTCAATTTGTACAAAAAGTGCTTAGAAGCAAAAGTCATTTTTTTTTTTTCTATTTATAAAAAGAGAAAT